AGGTGTGCTTGAAGGCTTCGAGTACCTCTTGGTATCTCGATAGCGGATGCTCCAAGCACATGACCGGAGACGCATCCAAATTTAGGAGCATAGCATATTTCAAAGGTGGCAATGTCGTTTTTGGTGACAACACTAAAGGAAGGATCATTGGAAGTGGCACCGTCGGGAGAGACAATGCTACAACCGTTGAGAACGTTCTTCTTGTTGAGGGCCTCAAGCACAATCTTCTTAGCATTAGTCAATTGTGCGATAGAGGTAACCGTGTCATCTTTGATTCTAGTAAATGCATTGTAGAACGCTTGTGTGACAATAGAACTATTCTTTGTGGTAGTAGAGTAGAAACTTGGCTATGGCATTACCAAAGAGGAAGAAACGTGGCTATGGCATGTTTGATCTTGAAAATTCCCCGTCTATCTTAGCTAAATGCCTCATTACCAAAGAGGAAGAAACGTGGCTATGGCATCGTCGGATAGCTCACGTTAATATGGACCATCTTAATAAGTTGGTTTCTAAAGACTTAGTAATTGGTGTTCCTAAACTTAAGTTTGAGAAGAATCTAATTTGTGATGCATGTCAAAAAGGGAAGCAAGTAAGGGCCTTGTTTAAGTCAAAGAACGTTGTTTCTACGACTAGGCCATTACAACTTTTGCACATGTACCTTTTTGGACCTTCAAGGACTATGAGTTTAGGAGGTAATTACTTTGGCTTTGTTATCGTTGATGACTATTCGAGGTTTACATGGACACTTTTTCTTGCTCATAAGTATGATGCACTTAATGTTTTTAAGAAATTTATCAAATTGGTCCAAAATGAAAAAGATTGTCACATTTCATCCATTAGAAGTGATCATGGGGGAGAATTCGATCAAGATGGCTTTGACGCCTTATGTGACAAATTAGGCATTGAGCATAACTTCTCGGCCCCCCGTACACCACAACAAAATGTAGTGGTTGAACGGAAAAATAGATCTTGATGTACCCAAGCTTAGGAAAAGCTATGGATAAATAAGGGCAGATTATAGAGGGGAATATATGGTGAAGAATAGGTTGGATTTGTGTATGAAATGGTGAAGAAAGTATGGTTGTTTAGAAGAGGTGATAGAGCAGAATGAAGGGCTGGAGAAAAGCAATATTATGGAGTGGTTTTTGATGAAGAAATGAAGTGTTTAAATGGGAGAAAGGGGATGGACGAAATTGGGAGAGAAAGAGGGAGTTCTTTTGTGGTTTTTGTTGTATAAGGATAAACCAAATAATGAATAAGAGATAAACACACTCTTTTTTTATTTGGGGCTGTTTCTTTTCACACAATAATATTCACTATTATTATATGAAATAGACTCCTAACACACACTCAAAAGTAGCCAACTTTAGAGATATTTCATTAGGAAATTGAGAGAATTAGCTTCACACCAACTCAAATATTACTTCAAAGAGTAAATAAATGGAATACAATGAATGAGTTTTACAAGGCCATAGGGCCGAAATATATAGGGAAAACAGCAAGGAAACTTCACCACTCTTTCCTACAATTCAAGTGCATAATGTCTATTTGATGGATCCCATAGGTTGTCCTCATTGATCAAGGCTAAAAGGGGTTCATGGTGGTGAAATGGGCTGTCTTTGGGTGGGGAAATTCGGCCATGTGAAGGGTAGGGTGAGGGAGTGTGTCATTTTGTCCATTTATGCAAAGTAAGGTATGTGACACATCAAGGGATTGGTTGTTTATTCCTTTGGCCTTATTATAGGTTTGAGAAGTGATTTGGGGGATGTTTGGGGGGAGGAATTCGGCCATGGGACAAGGAAAGTGAGGGGGGATGGTTTTGAATGATTTTCACACCAAGACAAAAGACATGTTTAATCCTTGTCTCCTGATTTGGTCTTTTGTGTTTTGTAATGGATTGGGATGAATGGAGATGGATTCTAAGGCCAAAAGAGAATGTATTTTCGTGGGTTTGAAGTAGGGAAAGGAGAGGGAAGGTTTTATTCAAAGTAGGGAATATTAGGAAAGAAAACAACGCACACAAAGCAATTTTGTTTGTCCTTATCTCTTGGATTTTCAGCCATGGCTTCAAAGGGAGGTGAAGGATTTTATTTTGGTTATTAAAGGAAAATGAAATACTTTTGGATATGTGGGAGTGTGTTGGGCTTGTAGGCATTTCGGCCTAGGTTGGGTTTTGGGAGAGAAGGGTCATGGTTCGGACTTTAATGTGGGACGTGTCAATGAGTTCAACCCAAAATGGATCATAACACCTAGACATTAAACACTTGACTTGTTGTAACACTAGTGGCGTGTGTGAAGGTGCATCCTGGGGTATATCAGATCTCTTGAAGAGATGGCTAGAACTATGCTCAATGAGGCTAACCTTCCTAAATATTTTTGGGCGGATGCCGTGAGTACCGCGTGCTACGTGTTAAACCGAGCCGTCATTAGACCGATACTCAAGAAAACGCCCTATGAACTTTACAAAGGAAGAAAGCCTAACCTTTCCTATTTTCATGTCTTTGGATGTAAAGTTTTTATTCATAATAATGGAAAAGATAACTTGGGAAAATTTGATGCTAAGTCGGATGAAGGAATTTTCTTAGGTTATTCTCTTCGTAGTAAGGCATANAAATATTTTTGGGCGGATGCCGTGAGTACCGCGTGCTACGTGTTAAACCGAGCCGTCATTAGACCGATACTCAAGAAAACGCCCTATGAACTTTACAAAGGAAGAAAGCCTAACCTTTCCTATTTTCATGTCTTTGGATGTAAAGTTTTTATTCATAATAATGGAAAAGATAACTTGGGAAAATTTGATGCTAAGTCGGATGAAGGAATTTTCTTAGGTTATTCTCTTCGTAGTAAGGCATATAGAGTGTTCAACAAGCGTACTAAGACCGTAGAGGAGTCTATTCATGTTTTCTTTGATGAATTTGATGCTCGCTTGGCGAGAAAAGGTATTGTTGATAATGTTGCAGGTTTTTATGACGATGAAGAAGAAATCGTTAAGGAAAAGGAACCGGAAGAAGAGAAAATGCAGGAGCAAACGGAGCTTCCTAAGGAGTGGAGAATGTTGAAGAATCACCCGATTGACAATGTCATTGGTGACATAACGCAGGGAGTTTCTACTCGTAATTCTCTTAGGAACACAATTAATCACATGGCTTTTGTTTCTCAAATTGAACCAACAACCGTTTTGGATGCTATTAATGATGAACATTGGTCTATGGAAATACAAGAGGAGCTTAACCAATTCAAACACAATGATGTTTGGGAATTGGTGCCTAGACCTAATGATCATTCCGTTATTGGCACAAAATGGGTGTTTCGTAACAAACTCGACGAAAATGGAGTAATCACTAGAAACAAAGCTAGGCTTGTAGCTAAAGGCTACAATCAAGAAGAAGGCATTGATTATGAAGAAACGTATGCACCGGTTGCACGTTTAGAAGCTATTCGTTTATTACTTGCATTTGCATCTACGATGGATTTTAAACTTTATCAAATGGATGTTAAAAGTGTCTTCCTTAATGGTATCATTCAAGAGGAAGTGTATGTCGAACAACCCCCGGGTTTCGAAGACTTTGAGTTTCCCAAACATGTCTTCAAACTCAAAAAGGCGTTTTACGGTCTCAAACAAGCACCTCGTGCTTGGTATGAACGGTTAAGCAAATTTCTTTTGGACCATGAGTTCAAACGGGGTCAAGTCGACACTACTCTTTTCATCAAGAAAGATAACCAAGAGATCCTTTTGGTTCAAGTTGACGTAGATGATATCATATTTGGTGCTACTAACAAGGTTTTGTGTAGGGATTTTTCCGATATGATGCAAAGTGAATTTGAAATGTCGATGATGGGAGAATTAAAATTCTTCCTTGGGCTGCAAATTAGACAATGCAAAGAAGGAACATTCGTGTGTCAAACGAAATATTGCATGGAATTGCTTAAGAGATTCGATGTTACCGAATCCAAATCCATTGACACGCCAATGAGCACCTCTTGCTATCTCGACAAGGACGAAAAAGGTAAAGAGGTAGATATCAAACGCTACCGAGGTATGATCGACTCTTTACTTTACCTTACCGCGAGTAGACTGGATATCATGTACTCTGTTTGTATATGCGCTAGGTATCAATCATGTCCTAAAGAGTCGCACTTGGTTGCGATCAAAAGGATTATGTGATATCTCGCGGGCACGTTGAACGTAGGTCTTTGGTATCCCAAAGGTTCGACATGTCAACTTGTTGGCTATTCCGACTCGGATTTTGCAGGTTGCAAACTCGATAGGATAAGTACCAGCAGTACTTGCCACTTATTCGGTCATTCGTTAATCTCGTGGTTTAGTAAGAAGCAGGTTAGTGTTGCACTTTCCACCACCGAAGCGGAATATGTCGCTGCTGGAAGTTGTTGTGCCCAAATTCTTTGGCTAAAACAGCAACTAGTAGATTTCAGCCTCATACTTGATCACATCCCAATTAGGTGTGACAATATGAGTGCTATTATTCTATCGAAGAACCCCGTTCTTCACTCGCGGACTAAACACATAGAAATTAGGCATCACTTCATTCGAGATCATGTCCAAAAGGGAGATGTCACAATTGAGTTTGTTGAAACGAAACATCAATTGGCGGACATTTTCACGAAACCCCTTAGTAGGGAGAGTTTTTTCCACATTCGGAACAAACTTGGCATTTTGGATATCTCTATGAACTAATCCATTCTTTTTATTGACTATACTAATTTGAGCGTCGGAGGCGCGATAAATTCTTTTTTGCGGGGCTTTTATTGCAGGTATCTCTTCCCTTGGTATTCAACCGAATTGGACTTGATGATTTTTCTGTCAAACAAGTTTTAATCGATTACTCCTCGAAGAGAAATCGATTAGTCGCCTCTGTCCCTCTTAATCGATTACTGGCCTTTTGTTTAATCGATTCAAATCCTTCAGGGAAAACTTCTTTAGCTCTGCTTCACTTTTAATCGATTAATCCTGTTAAATTAATCGATTAATCCTGTACATACTAATCGATTAATTCGACTTATTTAATCGATTTTTATTCGATTTCCACTCTCTTAAAATCAGCCAGTCTTCGTCTTCTTCGCCATTCTCTTTTTACAGAACCAGAGATCGGCGAAACCCTAGCCCCCTCCTTCGATCTCCTCTGTGATTTCCTCAACAATCTCTTCAATCTTTCTCACCAAAATTCATCAAATTCAAAGAGGAAGGATGCCCAGGTGCAAGAACCCCACCTCGCGTCAAGAATCGGCGGCGGAAGAAGGTGAGCGTCCTTGGCGCCGAGAAGGAAGCAAATACATCCACATTCAAACCGGGATTGTCTTCAGAACGGGAGCATCAGTAGAGAGGTTCCAAAACAACTTTCTCACGAGGGAGATCGTCTCACCTAAGATTGTGGACAAGGACCTCTTCAAATCGGAGACCTATGCCCCGAGTAAGTCCCTTTTCGCTCAGCAAGGCTTGCTTCGTTTCATTTACTTGACGTATGAATTCATTTGTCCAAACTTTATACGTCAATTTTATGCTAATCTTCGTACAACTAAGGGAGACTCGCCATCTCTCGTCTCCTATGTTAACGGCAAAAACATTGAAATTGATAGTGCCGGTTTGACCTCTCTTTTTGGCCTTCGGCGAGGTGAAATTACCGAAAACTTGGATGAAACATTCCAAGATGAGGCAATTTGGCGACAACTCGGGTTAGATTCTCATGACCTCAAATTTAGAAACTCTAGCAACCCGAGTGTCATCAACCTCACTTTGATTCAACGCGTTCAACAATACATCTTCTCTTATGTTTTGTTGCCCCGTGATTCGAACCATGGCGTTGTCAACAAGGACGATATTCGTTTGTTTCACGTCCTGTTGAACAATGTCAAATTTGATTGGGTTCACTTCTTCGTCGTTGCACTTAGTGATGGTACTCGTTTTTCCCATCTCTGTTTTGCCATCCCTATCATGCATATCCTTGCTCATTGCAAAGAAGACTTGCTTCATCACGGAAGCCAAGTTTTCCCGGATCGTGTACCCTGAGGAGGGCGATGCTGCACCAAATCTGGACCTGGTAGTCGCAGACGAAGAAGAGAGCCAAAACGAGACTCAAGCCGAGTCATCTCGTGCCGGAGGAAGTCGAGCCACGGAGCGCGTCACTCGTCAACGCAGGACTCGTCCAAGAGAAGAAGCACCGAAATCATCTTGGGTGAAGAGGATCTTCGATACTCTCACGTGCATCCGAGATGACGTTCGCCAGCTCAACGAGAGGATGACTCATTTTGAGCAATCCCGCTCCTACCGTGGCCCGCATCACAGCTTTAGCAGAGGAGCTCGTCCAGCGAACTCTCTTTGATTATATTCCTTCTGTCCTAACTTATTATGATACATTGTTATTTGCTATTGTTGTTGTTATGACTCTTTTGGTGGATGATGATGTTGCTAATTATGTATTTGATTGTTGGTTTGGCAATATGGTTCTCTTTTAGAACATATTGTCCCTTTGTGGCAATTCTTGTTGGAAGTTCTCTTTTTTAAGAAAACTCTTGCAAATTTTTTTTTCTATCCTTCAATATCCCGGCATTGATTAAGGGGGAAGGATATCGGTTGATAATGTCAAAAGGGGGAAGGAAGGATAGTTGAGAAAACTTGTTTTTCAAAAACGTTTTTTCCGCTTATTACTCTGATATTTTTTTTCTACACTTCTCTAACCATGCAGGGGAATTACTTTAAGGGAAGTATTTCTTGAGCTCTTACTTTGTTTTTTCTCAACTATGTTTGTCATTATCAAAAAGAGGGAAATTGTTGGACATGAGTTCAAACCTCTTTATTATTATTATTCTGGAATATTTTTGTTTTGATAAATGACAAACAGGATGATTAAATTCAAGCTGATCGAAAATTTATTTTTCGTATCGAGAAAAGCAAAGAGGCGTATCAAGATAAAATCAACGCCTACCCCTACGTAGTCTTGTGAAGTGAACACTCCGAAGACTTTTTTAATTTTTACTTGAGTCTAGGAATCTTTGTGAGGATGACAATAATTTTTGCATAAACAAATTAATTTTGAGGGATAAAAATTATTATTTTCTGAGTCAGTTGAAAAATTAGTTTTTCTCTGTCTAAAAATATTTTACTGAGTCAGTCTCAAAATAGTGTGTCAAAAATTCTTAAAATTTTTTTTTAAGGATACACCAATTTTTTTATGGTAAGAAAAATATACTTTAAATATTTTTCGTGTACATCGTTTGACACACAAAATAAATTTTTGGACTCACTTTTCTCTCCCCTATTCAATTTCATCGAATAGGAGATAGGATTTCTGAGGAGCGTTCTCTTATTCTCTCTGTCTCAAACAAAGAGGATACTGCCAATTCATTTCCTCATCGCAACTTGGCTTGGGCCAGTTGTGTTGCACATTATTTGAGATGTAATCGATTAATCATCTTGAGATAATCGATTATTTCATTCCTGCCTAGCGGAGGACTTCTGGCTTTTGGGCTTAATCAATTTCCTCCTATCTTTTAATCGATTAATAGGCTTTTCGTTGGATTCCCTGGCTTGCCCACTAATCGATTTTTTCTCTTCACTTAATCGATTAGTTCGGACAGAGCCAACTAATCGATTAGTGGGCCTCAATTAATCGATTAGTTCCATTCTTCTTTTCTTTCGCCTCTGTGTACCGTAATCGATTTAACCTTTAACTTTAATCGATTAATTTTATCTGGTGCATATTCTCAGTCCGCTCCAACGGATTTATTTCTCTGAGCCTATTTAATCCCCTTTCTCCTTCATTCTCAATACACTTCATTCTTGCACTCCAAAATATTCATTGAGCCATATTCATCCCTTGCTTCATCTTCCTCATCAAAATATTATTTTTGAGAGTTAGAAATATTTTCTTTGAGTGCTAAAGAAGTTGTCATCCATAGATCTTTAATTCTTCAACACTACTTTGCTCAATTGTGTGAGCTTTCATTCTTGTGTTGTAAACTCAATCTCATTTGAGTGTTGTTCTTAAGACTTGTGTGACTCAAGTCTTGTTATTGTAAGAAAGTGAGGCTTGTGTGATTCAAGTTCTCAAGTTGTACCGGTTTTTCAAGCACCCGTTGAAGCTTGAAGATTAGTAGGACTTTCGAGAGAGTCTCTCGGAGGACTGGACTAGCCACGAGGTGGTGAACCAGTATAAATCTCGGTGTTCTTCTTTTCCTTACTCTCTTTATTTATTCCTGCGATTTTATTATTTCACACACACGAAAAACGCACATTCTTGAGAACAACTCTATTCACCCCCCCTCTAGAGTTGCACATTTGACTAACATAGTATGTCTATGGAAATGATAAGTTTGATGGTAATGTCATGAGCGATCTTGTTTCAAGGGAAGAAGAGAATATCTTTGACACGTGATTCAATTAATGACTTCATGATGTGACATTGGGCAAGAAATCTTTGTCGTTCCTTTGAGTTCTTCAACTTTCTTATGAAGATAAAGGTTCAGTTCGGAATGTTTGGATCAAAATTTGGTTTAGATGGTCTTTATGACGTCATTTCTTCTTCTGATCGTTGCACAAACGTTCCTTTTCTAAGGTTAGATCACAGTTCATCGGTCATCAATAATTATTTTCAAAGATGACGTACTCGCGTAGATTTTTTTCAAGTTTACAGAGAGAAATAATGCTCAAGTCAAGGCATTTTATTATTATGATCTAGTCACGAGGTTCACCTGAGTGTGGTTTCGAAGGTCGATATCATCATGCATCTCTTGGATTTAATAGTGAATCCTTTTTAGGTCAAAGATTTCAATGGTTTAGTATATCAATACGATTGCTAGGAAGAAATGGAATTTAATCTCTTCGAGATTGGTCAAATGGGATATTTCAAGATATAAAGCAATCAACATGCGTAAATTCTAGCAAGTGTGAATATTCCATAGATACAAGTCAAAAGATGCTCTATTGTGCATAGAAAATTGTCCCCATTCTAAACCTTCATTCTTTAGTGTATTATCAAACTCTTACTTGATAATAGTTTTGCATTTAGGATCTCCATATGAGCATCATTCTTGGTTTGGATTCTTTGAATTGTTTCGTGCTTTAGAGCATCTACAATACATAGTGTAAAAGTTATTTTACACTATCAACAATATTTTACATATCCACTTTTTCATACTTCATCTAACCATATCTTCAACTCCCTCCATCCCACAAAACTCTTCTTCTTTTCTTTTTCATTCATCTCAAAAAATCACTCTTTCTCATTAAAAAGTTACTTTTACCCCTATTAATTCTTAACCTACCTATCAAATCACATTTTTTCTCTATTAATATACTCATCTCATCCTACTTTACCCATCACATCAAAGGGCATTTTTAGAAAGTCGACATCAAAATATAACCTCATTTATTATGTACAACCATATTTGTCTACTTTTGACTTTTTTCAGTCAAAATTTATCAATTTTGACCTTCAAATGAAATAAAAACGATATAAGATATTAATATGAAAATAGTTTTATTAGATATATTGTATAAAATATTTTTAAAATATTATTTTATCTAATTAATATACGATATATATTTTAGATATTTTATATTTGACTGGAAAAAATTAAAACTAAACAAATATTTGGGAATGGAAGTAGTATTCACTGTCTACCCTAAAGTATAAAGGAAAAATTGCCCAAAATAATCCCAACTTTACCCGATCTTTCAAAAATAATCCCACATTTCACTATGATGCATAATAATCCCAACTTTACTGAAATTTGCCAGGTTTGGGTCGCCGTTAAGTTTCTAACGGAGGAATAACGGAAAAGCCCGTTTTAGACAACAAAATGAAAGTTGGGATTGTTTTTGATAAATTTTTGTTTTTTAATTTTTTTTGAAATTTTCATTTAAATTTAAAAAATAAATTAAATAATGCCTGTTTTAGACAACAAGATTAGTCTTAGTTTAAAAAATAAAAACAATAGATATAAAAAATGAAAAAATGAGAAATGTAACTAAAATGATACAAAAATAATAAATTAAATAAGGTAATCAACGGAAACAAACTTGAAATTGGAAAAAGTCAAATAAAAATATACCGGGGGGGGGGGGGGGGGGTTTATTTTAGGCATTACACAAAGCATTAACATATCACTTCTTATTTTTTAGAAAAAATTATCTACAATAATTCCAACTTTACCGGACGGCTTGTTCTTTTAAAAAATAAGTAGTACATTAAGACTCCGTATAGTGTGTAAAATGTTAAACCCACGACTCCATATATATTTATTTTATTTCTTACCAGTTTCTGTTTAATTTCTATTTATTACATTATTTATTTGATTAATTTTGTATGGTTTTAGTTATTTTTCTCATTTTCATTATTTTTTATATCTATTTTTTTCTAAGGTAAGAATAATCTTTAAAAAAGGAAAAAGAAATGATGATGGAGGTAGAAAGTAATTCAAAAAATTTAAATAAAAATTTCAAAAAAAATTAAAAAACAAAAAATCATCAAAAATAATCTCAACTTTCATTTTGTTGCCTAAAACGGGCATTTCCGTTATCTCTCCGTTAGAAACTTAACGGCGACCCAAAACTGACAAATTTCAGTAAAGATGGGATTATTATGCATCACAGTGACAGGTGAGATTATTTTGGAAAGACCGAGTAAAGTTGGGATTATTTTGGGTAATTTTTCCAAGTATAAAAATAGAAGGTGGGGATGACTTTTTGCACTATATTGCAATTACCCTTTGATTTCCATATTTTACAATATACATTATGCATTGAAGTTGCTCTTACTATTTTCCTTGAGTATTTTCTCACATTTCTTAACATAATTTTTTTGAAAAAAGCTAGGGGTACACCATTTGGGGTACCCATTTGTATCCCTCCATCTCCACCACACAAAAGCAAGAGAGGAAAAAAATTTAAAAATGAAGGGTTAAGATTGATGGTATACAAATGAGGTACCCCAAATGGTGTACCCCTAACATTCCTCATTTTTTTTCTTTTTGTGAAATGTGGGATTATTTTTGAAAGATCCGGTAAAAGTTAAGAATTTGGTTTATCTTGTTCATGAAACCCTAGCTTCGATCTCCAGGGATCATCCTTGCACCAAATTGAGTTTGTAGAAGTAGAACATTATTGACTTGTGGATAATGAGGCCATTCTCATTGAGCAAGGGACAGTTTTGCTCATCATCGGACGACGAAGAAGACGACAACGATGATTCAAACGCTGAGGAAAATTCCGAGCTGAAATCATCCACCCTACGATCTAACGACGAATCTTCCAAAGGTAGGTATCGATATTTGTTCCAGCTTTTCTGCAACCTATTTCTTATTTCAAAGAATTTGTAAACTGAATTCTAGAATCTCTGTTAGCTGGAAGCAGCTCATTGTTATCAATATTCGAATTCCAATCATATATTTGAAAGCGGGTTAACAAATCTGTGTGTGTGAATGCAGTTGGGAGTTGGAAGCGAAAGAGAAAGGGCATAGACTTCGAAGCTCTGAAGAAACATGGATACAAAGGTGGATTATCTGTTCTGAAAGTGCCGGATCCGAAGGTAGGAGACGAGAAACAAGATTGGTCGTGGTCAAACGGGAAGGATGCGCGTTCAGGGGAGAAAGAAGAAACATATCATGACCGGCTTAAGACAAGGGATGCACTCGTTGAAGCAGAGCAGTTGGTTCATGCTCGTACTCAGAAAGAGAAAAACCTTTCTTTCTCACAGAAGGAAAAGAGGAAGAGGGATATGGGGCAGGCTAGCAGAGGGAAGAGCTATGTTGAAGAGGAGAAGAGGTTGCTAAGGGAGAGTGGCATTTACTCAGGTTTTGATTCTTGATTCATCTCACTTTAGTTATTTATTATGGGAATGTTATATAAACAAAAGAATGTGTGGACTTATAATGTCTTTTCAAATCCAGTTTATGTGCAAGTTTTTAGTCCAGCCCTCATTGTATATCATCACCCTAATAGCATGCTTCAAAATCTGTGGTGTTCTAAGAAATTTCTTGTCTTGCAAGTTGCAAGACTTTTAAAAGAAGATGCATCTTGTATGTATGTGTTACTACAGCTCGTGTTTTTAGATTTGTCTTCCTTCATCTAAGTTCTTGGAATTGGTGTTATAGTTGTGTGTATTATCTTGTACTTTGATAGGGATGTACCAAGAGACATTGTATAACTTCAACAATTGCTTTCCTGACTAAAGTCACTACAGAGATTTTCTTTACTGGCACTATTAATCAAAACTCTACTTTTTATAACCCCTGCTTCTCCTCTTTTATTTCACCAGAGAATAGAAAATTGAGACTAGAAACCCCTCAGGTAACCTTGAGGCTTCTTCTCTCAGCAATTTTCCTAAGGTCATTGACCATGCTGATTCCACTTGTATCAATGTTGCCAACAGCTGCAAATCATTAATAAAGAGTGTAGGATGTAAGATTTTGGAATTGTTGGTGTTTTGGGCATGGTGTTTTCAGTGTAAATGGAAAAAACCTTAAAGGGCAGTTTTAGAGTTCTGTATCATTATTGGTTCGTTACGACTCTCTTGGAAGGGCATAAAACATAAACCTTTGTGTTAAACTAATTTTAGGCAATTCATTGACACTAAATTTCACACCACCATCCCAATATATTTAGGATTGGGACATGGGATTAAGGTTGTGGGAAGGTGTTTTGTGTGTGGTAGTCTGGTAGAAGTTGTAATGAGATTTGGGTACCGAACTGGCCCATATTACATGTACGGAGTATGTTGAAACATATTAAAAGATTGAAGAGACAGAGTGCTTCTATTAGGTGCACCATGGACTTTCCCGCCCAGAAAAGTTAACAAAATAAAGTAAATGCATATCCCAGTTACTGGTTATATAAATAAAAAAAGTACATGGTATCTTATATGTAATCCAGGTGCATATATGATTTTACCAAAATTAAATTCATTTGATTATCTTGATTAATCCAATGTGTGATAAGGCAAAATGTATACCTTTACATGTATAATAGCCATCCACTGATCTCCAGTATCAAGGATCAGATACTTGCAACTTGACCTCTAGTATCAAGAATAAAGTAAATGCTTATCTTTTCCCCTCATATGCTTCTTGTTGATAGCCAAACGAACTGGTAAATGGATCATAAAGTTGAATGTTAGGAGGTATTCTGTCTGCATGCATGTGTTAGTGTGTGGGTGTAGACCAACATCACAACAGCCGTGACACAAAGCTTATACCGTGGAACGGGTTCACCATGCTCTTGGAGCACCTGTACGGCTGTACCCTTTAATATATACTCTTTTCGTCCCCAGATTAAAATCATTCTTTCCCTTGAAAGGAAATATGCAAAGTGCGACTTAATTGTTGGGACGCCGAAAAATGAAAAGTGTGACTTTAATTTAAGAACATAGGGAGTATATGCACCGCACATGACTAATTATGTATCTCACTTATAGTTCGGTGCTCGCATACTTGTGTTAGTCTTCATTTGGTAACATAGTTTGTGATTAGCATTAGCGTTTTGAATAATTTTTTTAATGGTACATATTAACTTTCAAAAAGTTCATGCTAAAAGTACCTATTGGGTAACATTTTCAAAGCATAAAGTTAAACACTAAAGTTAATGCCAAATGAAGCCTTAGTATACAAGGTTTGCAAGTTCAAACTTCAAGGTACATAGATTATTTTAAAATTTCACACACACACACACGAGGTGTTTGATGGTTGAAGAACAAGCTCGTGCCCCTGCCACGACAGAATCTCTTTGATAAAAAATCTTCTTGGTGAGCTCGACATTTTGGTGTCACAGCCTCCCTTACCAGTTTGTGACAATTTGGGCACTGTGTAGGTTGTAAAAAATCAGTTTTCCACTCTTGTTTGACTCATCTTTCTCTGGATTATATCTTTGTCTGTAACCTAGTGCTCTTCAATGTTCAAACCCCACCAGCTTCATTTTTTATCTTTGGTTTCGTGTCAAGCTTGATGTCACTGGTGGAATTTCAATCCTGCAAGGCATACTAAAGATAATATTGATAAATAATCCTCAACTAACTAATCACACTAGGTTAGCTCCACAATATCTCTTCATATTATCTTCTTAATTATCCTTTTATTACATTATCTCTGGTGGTAGTTGATGTACTCTACTATACTTGTGTACTACCCCGTATATGATGGCATGGACAACAATTCAATGAATATTATATTACTCGCATTTTTTTTTATATCCTTACCTATCTGTCTAGTGGCTACTTCAATCAAGTAGCCGATGTCATTACAATAATTCTTTCCTCTACACATCATTTGTTACATTAGCTTGTCATGCTTTGTAGTTCATAATTACTCTTTTCACGTTCTAATTTAAGTTGTGTGTTCACTATTTACTAAGTCAAAATGTAATCAATTTCATTACTCATTTTCGATACTCATTTGATAAAATGATACTGTATTCTTTTATACAAAGTAGAACTATAGATTTACTTTTTAAATTTATACTCCGTAAATCTTATTTTTGAATTCCAAACAAATTTCATATAAAATGAATTGAAAGTAATTTCAGTCAAACATCGTAAACTGATTCAAGCAATATAATATGGGACAGTGGGAGTAGTTGTTATTTAGCAAACATTTTTTTAATTTTTCCATTTCCAATTTTAGATTCCTTAATAGGCGCCAATAGGTCGTGCATAGTAATGTCTCAGCATCTCAGGCCCATAACTTTATTTTTAATAGGATCTAGGTTGTTATTCAAAGGGGGTTGTGGTGCTGCTCGTTGCCCAACAATTTTTTGTAATTTGTTAATGATATTTAAGAAATCACCCTAAGTATGAGTAAAATATAGAGAAAAGTATCAAAATAAAAGTTCTATGTTTTTATTCTCTAAATAAAAGTTTACACTGTGATATTGTACATGATAAATTTTGCTATATTTTTTGGTAATGTACATGATCATGATTAGTAATGTAAATGTATTTTAACTCCTATTTCGGAAATAAAAATATGAAACTTCTATTCTTGTATATTTTCAATGTTATACTCCTACTTTAGTCTTTTTTTCCAAAGTATTTTAATTGACAATTTTGATTAAAAACTCATGAATTTGATTTGATAAAAAATACTCCCTCCATCCCAAAAAGAACGCAGCAGTTATTATTTCGGCTTCTGGATAACTTTTGTTTGTTTACTCATTTTGACTGACCATTTGATAAAATAAATCATTCTTGTTGCATCTTGTTTTGTGAGACTTTTGATTTACATTAGAACGGTGTAATCTTTACTTTTTTTTCTCTACAAATTTGTAAGTAAAATGATTTTAAAAAGAATGATTTTTTGCACATTATTCAAAATATTGTAAATAATTTGGGATGGAGGGTGTAATAATTTAGATTTTCCACTTTAAGAGCTACTTCCTTGGTTCACAAAAATGATATCTATTTTGACTAATGAAAGAAATTAGAAATGTATATTTATAGTTGACTTTTCAATTTTGTCATTAATATGAAAGGTAAACTACTACTTTAAAAGTAAGATGTGATGAGTAGACTATTGGTGAAAAAGTATGGTGTGATAAATTAAAAAAATAGTAGGGGTAAAAATAAATTTTTAATAGAAAATGAAAGTATTTTGGTAAAAGAGAAAATGTTTTTGAAAACGGAAGGAGTAAAAAAAATGCACCCTAAATTTTGAACTACAAAATTTTGTGTCAAAAATTGTGGGTAAAGAGTGTAAACAAATACTCGGTTAAATTTGCTTTTGCAGTTAAAACTTTTAAATGACATGTAAGTTTTGTGTCAGTATGGTGTATATCTAAGAGTGTACTACAACTTATGGTGAGTACTAAGAAAAAATGCAAAAGAAGAAGCGGGATGAGCGGGAGGGAAGCCTGTGTTGTTTCTCCCTTCCCCGCACGCCTTCTCGTCGCCCCTTTGCGCAACATACCCCATGGCCTAATGTCATACTCCGTATGTATATGAGAAATCATAGACACCTCATATATGCAATAATTTAGTATAAATATGTTTCCCGAAATAAAAGAGGTAATATTATTCTCAAGATATTTTTTTCTCATTTTTTTATCACTCATTTGATAAAATAAAACAGTATCATCATCCCTGGTTTTATAAAGGTATTTAAATGTAGTTTCATAAGTATATAGAAGTAATTTTTTATTTCTACACCAAATTTGAAATAAATTGAATCGAAAATAACTTTCTTTAAACATCGTAAACCGAACATCTCCTTTTAATTTAAGCTTTACTAGCTTCAGTACGATTCAAGGGCGTAACTTCCATCTCCGGTTGATTTCAATGTGGTGGGATCTTGTTCAGATTTACTTTTCTGATTTTCCAATCCACATTTTCAAGAAATGAACCAAACACAAGTAGATGATTTTCATATTTTCACCCAACTCATTTTCGTGAAATCATTTTCCTAAAGTCTTTTACTAGGATCCCAAACCAACACTTAAATTAGTTTATTTCCTTATATAGAAAGCTAAGGTTCATGATACTCTTTAAATAGATGATGGAATCATGGAAGCACTTATAACATACTCCTAAATGATAGATAAAAACCAACTGAAACAACTCCGGATAAGTGATAATATGTGTTGTACTCATAAGTCATAATAAATCAATGCTTTTACAAGGGAGAGAGTGGTTTGGTTGGTGACAATAAGAATCTTAAAAATAATCTTCAGTCCTTCCCTTGAAGCCAATCTGTCCAAAAGTGAGACAGAGAAACAGCCCCAAATGCCACCACAACATCCACCACCTGTACACAGCAGCCCCACACCAAATCAATGAAGTTCAATTGGGGTCAACAAATTGAAAACTGCATCTTCTCTTTCATGTCAAAATTCTTAAGTATTCATGCACTTATGACAATCTTTTGTGACATATACAAGTGTAAAAATATTAGTGTAACACCAGTTTCGTTGAAGCAGAGATTGGCATAGAGCCTATGTGTGTGACTGTTTTCACATGAAATACTTCGGAACTTTGAACTTTTTCTTGGCATAAAAGTGCCGCGAAACACCTCGAATATTTTCTCATGTCAAAGAAAATATGCGCTAGATATTATTTCCGAGACTGGACTGCTTGGATCGAGACCTTTGGGTTCTCTGGTTGAACCAAAACATTGTCTTGCTCTGTCTCAAAGTAAGTGCTTTGCTTCTTGATCAAGAGAAATATCATGGTTTTATTCGTTACTCGTCATGAACGTACTCTCTTATGCAGTCTATACCCTAGCTCAGTTTCACAGGGAATTGCGAGACGAATATTGGACTGCCGCTCTAGATGTGGTGAGATATTTAAAAGGATGTCCCGAAAGTGGCATTCTACTTTGGGAAATTTATCTAAATAAGAAAAAAACATAATTACTTTCTCAATATAGGATCATATGTTTTTATTTTCCAGTATAGGACCATTGGTCATTATTCATTAATCATTATTCAAGTAAATGTCCACCATCACTGGACATTATTCCTCCCACAAGACATTATTAAGTCATATTTAGGGAATAAAAAAGTTTAAGTCCTACATTGGGAAAGGACTTTTTTTTAGTCCTATTTAGTGCAAATTTTTCTTCTACTTTCTTCGGGAAGCAATTTGTATCTGACAAGATGGTGTGATTCAGATTGGGCAAATTGTCCTTTGACTAGGAGATCCTTGAGTGAGTGGTTTGTGCAGTTCGGATTCTCTTATTTTTTGGAAGACAAAGAAACAAACTACTAATGTAAATTAAAGTGGCTAAAAGGACAGCTTCGTTCTCTTGGCTTCCTTTGAGTACTCACTTTGTTGGTACCATCGCGTTAACATTGTTGTTAATCCAATTCTTCATAAGAGAACAAAGCATATAGAGATTGATTATCATTTTGTTTGAGATGAGCTTTTACGAGGAGTCATCCATACTAGGCATGTCCCTATTTTCTTTACAAGTTGTAGATAGTTATACCAAGATGTTAGGAAAGGTGTGCATGGAGTTTCTTGTTCCCATATTGGACAATATTTCGTTGTTACATGCTCTAACTTGATGAAGAGTGTTAAGGAAAGAAATAATAATAATACGTAATATATTATTTGATTTGATATATTGTAGAAGTATCAATTGTATATAATTGTGTTTTCTTATCAAGTTTGTTTACTTGTATAGTTCGTTTTCATATAAAGTTCTCGTCTTGTGGGTTCCTACATAAACAAGGTCCCGAATAGTCACCATTCATTTTTTTTGTCTAGCATTAATTAATACTAGTGCATCACCCGTGCGATGCACGGGAGTATATAGTACATACATCATTTGATATAAATATGAAAAAAAGATAAATATATTCAGGTCAAATCTTTAAAAAAAAAATCTTGAAGGAAGAGAGTAATAAACTGAAAGAACAGACAATCATGTTAGTTAAAACGATAATAATGGAGTTGAGTAACTAACCAGAAGTCAGAAGTGAGAGCTGGGCCGGTGGGCCAATGGGCCAACTCAGTGCCAATGCTGTGAAAGAAGAGCCCAGTCAAGCTCCTGCCATTGATAGCTGGAATGCTGGATGGTGCAATCCATCCTATCAGCCCAAACCCAATCACATTCAGGTCACTCCTCAACCAGTCTTTCTCGAACTTTCCGCTAATCACAACATAAAACATACACACACAAAACAATGGGAGTAAGTTTTATTGCCACAATTATTGTGAGACTTACACATTTTCAATGGCTCTGATCTAATAACAAGAAAGATTTGATCACCTTGTAAGTTTCTCATTTGAGGCTCTTGGTACCCTTAGAGGCTTCCTTACTGCTACTGCTGATTTCAAAAAGTCTGTTACAATAGAGAGATGCATATTACTTATTCTGTCCCCCTAAGATTTTTTCGTTTGACTTTTTGTAGTTTTTAAAGAGAGTTGAAAAAGGTAAAAAGTTCACCAAAATACCCTTAGAGTCCGTTTGGTATACGGAATTGATGAAATTGGAATTGAAATTCTATGGGATTCAATTCCATAGAATTGAATTCTGCCAATTCCAATTCATTTTTTGCACCATCAATTCCAAATCCACATAATCTTTGTGCTACCAAACACCAGAATTGGAATTGAAGTCCTCAATTCCAATTCCATAGTTTGAATTCCGTGTACCAAACGGGACCTTAATGAAAATGGGTGGAGTATATATTAAATGAGATAAGTGAGGTGTAATACATAAAGTTAATAGGGGTAGTGGTATTTTAAATGTTAAAAAAAATAATGGTAAGATTTGTGAGAGACAAATAATTATAAGGACTAATGGGGAGATTTACGAGGGTTTACTTAAAAAAGAGGATGAATCTCATCCCTAAAAATGAGGTGAATGAAGCTTTAATGTGTAGTGAGCTCTAGGCAATGAAATTTGTCCCTAGTCCCATCTAAGACTTTAATGTAGAGCATAATAAGTCCCGCACTATCATTGCGAGGGGTCGAACGTGAACAGAATCTCCTTTTGCATCCCCTATACGTTCTCAACCAAATGTATGATTACTCAATATTAAAGTTGGAAGAGATTTACGAGTTTCAATTGGCTATGATATGAGCACTTATTGTAGAGATTTATTGAGTTTGAAATTGTTAATTTAAATCCAGTAGGCCCTGGTGCGATAAGAAAATTTTAAATTTGGACGACTAGAACATCTCCCCTTGTTTGAGTGGTAGGAAGTCCATTTCTCAAGATTTATGAGGAAATTTACTCAGATTCGAGCTCCAGCAGAGGCAAAGACGATGGTTTTTTGTGTATCATTAGATTGAGAAAAATATGAACAAATTCTATATCGTAATAGAGTCGATAGTACTAAAAAAATTGGACGGACTAATTTGATGAGTCCAAAAGCACCACCTTAATAAGTTGGATGTTTTTTTGGGAAATAGTTGGATGTTGATTTAAATGTATGTATTCAACTAACTCGGATGTGTGATGGTTTAGCCAACATTAGGCCTTGTTTCTATTATCTTCATCCCAAATTAAATTCTCTATTTCGATTTACAATCTTTGAGTAAACTTATTTTCTAGACAATTTATTTGAAAATTAGGTGAAATTAAAAAATAAAATTTACATATTTAAAAAAAAATACTCCGAAAGTTTTACGAAAAAAGGGAAATTTGATCACGTGAATAGGAAACAAACAATTTAAATAATTTTCTTTTTAATTATTTTTGTCACTACAAGAGTATTAAAAGAGCAGACCAACCAAAAAGGAACTAAAGAAAGAAAGACGGATCATATCGTGTTAAATGTTAATTAAATTAATTACCAGAGGAGAGAAAGGGTTTGTGTGGAGAAAACGCCGCCGCCGCCGCCCTCGAAGAAGATGAAGTGGTCGTCAAGCCATAAGTATAAACAGCGGCATAATTACATGCTGCCGACGCCATTTTTTTACCTCTGTTCTTCTTCTTCTTCTCCTACTGAACTCTAATAAAGTGAATATGATACGTACAGCTTTTTTATTTTTGTGATGGACCGAATTTGCTAGGATGGGTTGCTGACCAATGCCACCTTGCCACGTGGACTTTTTATTCCGTATGTGGATAAAATTTGAGGATTCTCTTTTTTGTCCTATCTCTCACACCACCTCATCAAAGGGTTCCATGACAAAAAAATGTAGTTTATAAAGTCCTAACATTATGTTTGAAAAAAAAATCACTCATTTTCGTCATCAAAATAGGAAGAATTTGGTTATCCTTTCACTTTGCACACCTTATCTTCTCATTTTCTTTTCCTTTGATTTTAATTTCTTTTCCTCTCCAACCAAACAAAAAAAAACTATTTTCCATCTTATTTTTTTCTTTTCCCTTTCAATTTTCTTGAACCGAACATGGTGATGAAAAGAAGAAAAAAATGAATAAAATTTAATCATATAAATAATAACTGAGATAATTTTAAAATAATATAATGCAAAAAAGCTATTTGCCCACCAATTTGCAAAAAAGCTATTTGCCGACCGCTTACCGCATTTTTTTTTGGTGTGAACACAAAAATGAAGTAGGGAGGGGTAGTGTGCAAATAAGTATTTAACTTGTTGCAATGGTTGAATCTCCAATCCCAAGGGCACCCTACACCTAACCCGACGAGGTATGTGGAGAGAAGTAAACCAGAAATCCAATGACCCGTTAAAGAGGGAGGTCAGCCCCACAAACATGCAAGGAGCTCATTCTTTTAGTCCAAAATAGTCTCAAAATATCACTCACACACTACACAGCGTACACGCAACGGAAAATCGACCCATACACCTTGTTGCAAATTTGCCCCTTCCGAAATCAATTGGGCTATGCTTTGCGGGCAATTAGTGTCTCTAACTTGATATACCTCTAAAATTACTCAAAAAGCTAAAAGTTGTATACTGAACAAATTTATCACTTTTTTTTTCCAAATGTCTCAAAATAAAGTTCACTCTTTACACTTCAGCAGTGCCTGACAAACCATGTCAATGAACGCATTATCCTGCAACAATAATTAGAGTACAGAGTACAGATCTCAGGGATGGTATGTTGGTATTGTAGTACTAAACTCTGCCATCATGTCAAGAAATAGATTCACAAGAAGGCAATGAACTACCTGAACAAGAATGAGAAGGGCCTCGCGGATCTTATCTCTGCTAATAACAATCCCGTTGTTTGGAGGAGCAGCAGGAGTGAGGGATAGAGGGGGTGAAGGTGGAGGATATGGCTGGAGCAAAGGGGCACCATATGGGCGCCCTACAGTCCCAGCAGAAGGCTGAAGTGGAGGAGCAGTGGGCATAGATGAAGGGGGTGAGGGTATTGTTACTAATGCAGAAGCCGAAGGATTCAGACCAAAAAACAAAGATGGCATTATCAAATTTGTTGACCTTTTACTGCTACTGTCTTCTGCTTCAGGCGGTGCCTCAAAGAGATGCATTGGGTTAGGCAATACAACAGGTTGAGTCTGAACGTGTGCAATAGGGGTACGAGTGTCATTCTGAGAAAGCGGAGTTTGAGTAGTGCTTGCAGATGAATGGGAATGATGTCCGGGAACTACTGAATTGGAAGCGCTCCCAATTGACATTGCGGACTGCAAAAATAATAATAATGAACCTTGGTACATCACCGTAAGTACAAGCTCATCCATCCCACACACATACACACACACACGGAGCATAGCTTAACAGAGTTACAAAGTGCACCAAAAAAATTAGTGGAAAATCATACGCTGAAAAAGTTCACAAAGTTATGCTCATCTGGAGTATCTCTGCGATTAGAAGTGGTTGCATTTGGTGGCTCCAAGGGACCATCAATTACATCCATACTTGGAACTGCTTCCAGCTCTTCAAATTCGCTATATTAGGATCAAGAAGTAAAATGAACGTTTAGCATGCTTCTAATTCTAAAAAAGTAATCAAGTAATTCTAACAACCACAACAACATCTCTACTATAAGCTCCTTCAATCTAGGTTGCACGGAATCGGGTCTTCACTGCCGCCTCCCGCACCGGAATCGTCGCGGGCGCGGATTCACCGGCGGGGACGGCAGTTGGCGTACCGGAAACGCACCTGGATCCGCAGACTTCTACTCTAGAAGCAATCGGCAGCTGGATTGGTTCTTCCAAAGGAACCAATCCAGCTGCCGATTGCTTCTACTGCCTTGCAGCTGCGGCAACTATGCTGCCGCCGATTGCTTCTACAGCTGCGACTCTTTAATTCCCTTTTTTTTTACGGATCCAGAGGCAGAGCAACCCTACCCCTTCTTTTTTACCAAACTTTAATTCCGCCGACTCCTTCGCTGCTTCTTTTTTCTTTCTTTTTTTTCACATTATTTGGGTTGACTAGAGTTTGGAGCATTGTTTAATTAAGTAAAATATTAGTATTTTTAACATTTACATGCCTATATTTAATATTTTAATTATCTTTTGTTGCCGAATCCTTGCCGTCCCCGCATCCTTAAATTTTTAAAAATGTTGATTCCCGAATCCGTCCCCGTCCCCGTATATGTACCCGCACCCGTCCCAGTGCAACCTAGCCTTCAATAATATTTAACAAAACAAAGGATTACACTTGGTTGAGTTTTGTCATCTCTTCCCTCGGTTCCTATAATCTCTTCCCCGTTTGACTTGGCAATAAGCATTATCAACCACACAAATCTTTTCTTTAAAGGAAATTGTGAGGAAATTTGAAATCGAGAAGATAAATCTGGAATAGAGAGTATTTTCTTTCAAAGAGAAAAAGATGACACTGGTCTGAATGGAGTTTAAGAAAAGTGTAGAAAAGTAAAAAGTGAGTTGTCGAAATTTTATCAGAAGAAAGACAAAGATTGTGGACCACATATTCTTTAATTTATTAGGAAAGTAAAGAAGTGAGACGATTGTTTTGGGATGGACTAAAAAGGAACGTGAAACGATTAATTTGGGGACAGAGGGAGTAATAACATAGAATAATTTGATTTCCATATCTGCATTGAAGTTTCTTTAATGTAATATTTCCCCTCAGTATTACCTCGAGACTGGAGGTACTTTTGACTTTGTAGGAACCTTTGAATATGCGTTTAAAATCCTGTTGAAAAGCAAAACATCAAATGTTCAATTAGTCCCACATGTGAAAGTATCCAGGATTTAGATAGAGCAAGAGAGGTATAAGAGTGTTGAAGATTAAAAACAACCATTATTGAAGGTGGTATAAATCAAATATCCAACAGGACTGGTCAGATAATACACCAATTCTACTAGAGTAAACAAATCACATAAGCTCAATATATCCCACTCAAGACTAGTAAGTCCTCGAGAACAAAACATACTCAGACGCTACCTATACTCCAAGGAGTAGAGAGGCTGTTTCCCAGAGGACCCCCCACAAAACCAATTCCACTAGTGTAGGTCTCAAACTTCCAAATATAGAAAATGGTTCTCGATGAAACTGATGAAAGACAACTATAGCTTTGTTTCCATTAAAAAAACATTCTCTTCGACATAATTCATTATGAGATGTCCTGCTCACCATAAATTATCATCCAATACTGACCTGCAAATTTGACAGTAAAGTACTCCCTCTGCTTCCATTTTATGTGTTGTACTTTCCTTTTTACATGTCAATGTGTCATACTTCCCTTATTAACCGTCCCAATAATGTCATGTTTAGAAAAATAGGCATCTAAACTATTTTATTTTTCCAACACTACCTTCAGTCTCTTTCATTTTCACATGGTGGGCCCTTTTAAAATTACAACCGTGTGTTACACACTGACTTGTCCAGTTTTCTTGAAATAAGTGAATGTGGATATCCACTCTTATTATTATTACGCTGGGGTTCTTTTGACAACAAACCTTGTCATATTATGACAACAAGGTCTACAGTGCTCCAATAAAAAAATTTATAGTTCCAGCCCCCCTAACCCCCTCCCCCTCCCCCTTCCCGGTCCAAAACGCTGATTTGCAACAGTAACACTGTTGCCAATCAGCATTTTGGGCGGGGGCGGGAGGGGTGCTGGGTAGGGGGTTAGGGGGTAAGGATCATCAATTTTTTGATTGAAGCACCATAGTGATTGTTGTCATTATATGACAAAAATCTTTGTTTTGAAAAGAAGGGAGCCGTATCATTATTATTATTACTATTATATTATTATTTCCCTGATCATCCTTTGTCAACTCCACTGTTGGCCCATGTTAAATCAAGAGGCATTATTATAACTTCACGCCTCTCAATGGTTCCTACAAAGCTTTAATCCATACATAAGCATTTTAACCTGAAGAATATACTCCTGGGTTGCTGTTATTTTTGTGCTCTCTCTAGTCTCTATTTCACATGATTTCTCTATCTCTCTCATCTTCATCAAAGATGAAAAGGTTTGACTGGCATATTTTTTCTTCATTAGAGCACTTTTTTTTAATTATTTTTAGTTCAGTACAGCACCCTTAAATTCAGTTCAATTCAGCACCTTCCAAATCAGTTCAATCTAGTTCACCGTAGAGTGTAGATCAGGTCAACTCAACACCTAATTTTGTTGTTAATAATTGATGAATATAATTTTAATTAATTTTATATATTTAATATATAATATTTGAATAAGCTAAAAGGCTAATACAACAATAAAAAATCAAACTAGTACAAAAGTTTTAACTGGTTTTCCTCAGTTACACTAAATACTACTCCGTACTCCGCAAGTTTTTAAAATCTTAAAATATTAGTTGGTAAACGTTTCTTACTTTCTTAACACCGTAATAAAAAAAAATTGTTTCAAACAGTCTCATATTTCTAATCTAAATAATATCTTCAAGCAAATGAATTGTTGTCCATTGTCTAATAAGTCTTCAATTACATTGAATATTTTTCAACCATCTTAAAATCATAATTAAAGTAATAAAAGTACTAGTCACAGCATGAGGTGAATTGTTTTTTAAATGTACTAAATATTATACTGTGTACTATTTTGTGCTAACAAATATGTATTTTACAGCCATTTAGATCTGTGAAATTACAATAATGCTCCTTGATTTAAGGTAACCATAAAGGATAACTATTTCAAGAAATTTCTCTATGATTGTGTGTCACCATTGGACCAAGACTGCATTATGCAAATTTCAATCGAAATACCCTCTTTCAAATCATAAATGCAAAATTTCCCTAGGAAAACATAAATGCAAAAAGCAAAAGCACACAGAGAAGAACTTGCCTATTGAATAGATTGGAAACTTCTTCACATTCGTGAGCATTGTAAAACCATATACCATTCACTTCTTGGGCAGCATTCCGGTATAATAAATATGGAACCTGGACATCATACTCAAAATCCCCCAAAAGATCTTCAACTAAGTTGTCTGTGTATCAAAAAAGAACGCGTACTCTCAATCAACATCATACATAAGATGAAAGCTTATACGAAATTACATGTGCAACATGTTTTTTCTTACATTACATTTCCAGAATACAAAAGAAAAAGGTTGTTTCAGACAGATACGACCAATTAAAACTTCAAGTGTTTTTGTACCCCACACGCCACACCCAATGACCCCACCAATCAAAACATTCAGAAATAGATAACTTTTATGCACAAACATTAAATCACTTACATTCTTATATTAATTTGGCATGGAATTAGATCCTTTGCATTAACTCCATGGTGTAAGTTACTACATGGACAGTCCGTGTAAGATAACTCCACAGTAAAGTAACAACTGAGGATCCCAAATTTGGCATATATGGGATAATTAATAATTTAACAAAAAAATATAAAGATAGAAGTAATAGAACTAAAGTCAATCTTCACGAGATGGCTTCTATTAGATGTATTCAAGAAAAATCAAGAAAACCATAATGAAATGAAATGGAAGCATAAAAGACAACAAACCTGCATTTCTGCGATTCATTACGATGAACTGGAACCTAGGTTGAGAAGTCCTGCAGTTCCCACACATGTTGAAATCAGTGCTAGGTAAACAGCATGCCAAAGATCAATATAATATTCATTGAACCCCTAACAACTAACTTTCCAACTAAACCCACCTCTTAACAACAAAGAGAGATCCTTCGACATCCTTTCGACTCTGGAATAAATTTAATTAAAAAAATCAATGTTACAACAACTAAACCAGAATAAGATAATCGCATACAGAGCTTGTTTGTGAGTACCCATTGGCTTGTCTCAATATTAAATTCGTAGAAGGTGACGTGCGCTGCGGTGAGGAGAATTTCCTCGATGAATGGATCCGTCCGTTGAAGGACGGTGAGGTTCAGCAACTTCGTGCTGTTCCGGTCAAGATTTGGCATCAATTTCCCGCTCTGCGACATTCCCACTGAGAGGTATAAACCCTAGAGCAATGGCCGTTAAACGTTGTGCCCTTGTACTCCTCCAACCCGTGAATAGATATTAGTAAACACTGCTTACCACACAAACACAGACGATAATTGTCTATGCGACACAGACAATTATCGTATGTGTTTGTCTGTGCGAAACATAGATGCACCCATGGTAGCACTCATGTGGTGGCACCCTAGCATGGTCCTAGATATTATGGGGAAAGAGCATGGGTACACCAAAAGTACCCAAATGTACACCACCCCTTCTCTACAATACACTTTTATTTGATTTTTATTTACTTATTTTTCTTAAATTTTTTTGCCTTTTTAGTGGACAAGGAGGGAGTGGGGGACATATGGGGTACACCTTTGGTGAAAGGTGTACCCCTAACATTTTTCTATGGGGAAAATGTCATAATTTAGAAATCTCAAAGGTTACTCCTAATTCGCGTTTACTCATAATTTAGAAACCAAATGTGTACCCCATTTGTCCCCCACCTTCTCCTTGTCCACAAAAAAAAGGTAAGAAATTTAAAAAAAAATAAATAAAAATGGGTGGTGGTGAAGGGGGTGGTGTACATTTGGGGTACACCAGGTGTACCCCTAGCATTGCTCTTGGACAATAGGTAAACCATTTATTAGAGCTCGTTCTTTATGAATAAAAAAATAGAAATCACCCTATGTAGCACTCTAAAACACATAATATTACATGTATAACATTCTTAATTTTTTCACACATTTAACTATTTATGGCGTGGATCTCTTAAAACATACCCTTTTTTCGCAGTGTAAGATGGTTGTGGTATGCATACACTTTCTGACAGTGTGTTATGCTCATGTTTTGGACAGTGTGTTAAGTTGGTAGTAGGAAAGGGTTTGAAGCCCTTGTACTAGAAAAGTACTATGATGGAAAAGCCAACCTAGATGGTTCCCAGGTTTAATGGGACAACCTACTTATAGAATGACGCACGGTCACTGTGGGGGCAGTGTCGGTACCTCCGACCAGTCCCTTTCGTTCCTACTGATGAGAGTGACTCCTGAATATGATGAGATTAGCATATAAATATGCTTTAATGATTCTTAACCAATAAACACAATAGTCTAAGCGGAGTAATCGGGATACACTTTAAAGAATCACCTATGTAAGAGTAAAATATGGTCGTGATACGAATATCGTATCGGATAGGGAAGAACTTCGAGCGTTCTTCAAGCTCCAAAAATATGAGGTAGAGAAAGATGGAAAACTTCGAGCGTTTCCGGACTCCAAGAGAATATAGGAGGAGATTAGATTTTGATCTTTCTTTATTGATTGATAATAACGGAGGAGGATTACAATATATAGAGAGTAAAGCTACGCTCGTTGACCTAATGGGCTCGGGCTCGTACTAAACCCTAATGTATAGAATATTAATAAATAATAATAAATAATACTAATTAATAAATAATATAACTAATCTATTATCATATCAGGTCGCTTCAAATTGAAGATTTTGTGCTTAATCCTCTAAACCCTCTCGCAAAACCAGGTGCGTGTCGCACGACCAAAATGGGCACAAGCATGAGAACAGAACAGCGTTTGGTTGGAATCATTTACACAAACGGTAGTACAGTTCAAAGACATCACATTCTACTGAACAGATAGTAAAGAATGTATACCTTGCAAGGGAAAGGTTCAAAAGTGGAGACACTTGCCTGTTCTGGACAGGTTTTCAACCATGGGATGTTGCCGACCTCCAAATCAATTTTTCATTCATGTGGGGGATTGTTGGAATTTTTTCCATTTTAATAGGTATTAAATGTACCAACTTTCGTCATAATTATCAATAGGACCACCAACGGTTTCAACTGTCAATTAATAGACATGTGTTCTCTTAGAAAAAAGAAATAGATAAATATTTTGATATATTATAAGCCAAAAATGGTAGAAGAGTGAATAAGAAATTGATTCTCAAAATTGACCCACTAAAATAGAAGAGTATGGTTGATGCATGTACATGCATATTTTTATTGAACTGATCTTCTATTACTTTTACACAATGTTTAAAATCAGTCTATTTTTACTGAGTTAATTGGTCATTAATCTCCAACTATTAGGGACAAATTTCAAACGGAGAATAGTGTAACAAATGTGTTAATGGCTATCATTAGCACACCACTAATACACCACTTATGACCATCAATATGGTGTAGGTTACACCTTTGGAATTCTCACCTACTAGCCTATTTAAAAGAGAACAAATACTCCATGATGGTTACACCTTTGGAATCCTCTTCATTTTCTAAGAGAGAGCTCTTGATTTTCATCCAAATTTTCGGCGATTTCCTTCAAAGTTTTTTGGTCGTGAACGTTTCTACTTTGTTCTTGTTCGTTGGTGTGTGGTTGGTCCATACAATCACCACACACGATAGCGGTTTTATTCTATGAGGGAAGTGCCCATGTTTTTCAGGTACGGTAGGCTGACACTACTACCTTAAGGACAGCTTTGGCGACTCCGATGCCCTTGTACGGTGTTTGGTTTTTGTAGATACCATTTACAAGTTCCACATTCCAGTTCGCTCCTTTAATCCGGTGGACAAAGTCTCCATTGTCGATAAAGGCCTTTGAAGATTGGAAGTTTTTATTTATTTATTTATTTATTGTAATTAAATTTGAATAAATTATAAATTTGAATTTATTTATTTTATTTTATTTTTTAGTTTATTCCGGGACCGTTCATCTTCCCCGTCCGTTGTAATCAGTACTATCACTCTACAATAAAATGAATGCAGGATACGACATTATTTCTCCTAAAATGATACTTCATGATCCATGATCCATTCCATTCTTATAAATGTCATGAATGAAAAATTAACTTATTTTTATTAAATTTTTATCTATAAAATGACATTGTACACTAATTATTTAGAATTCAAAATTCTAGCTATTTATTGAACACCAATAAGCTATAAAATCTGAATTATTAAAAACATCTGAATTATTAAAATATAATATATCCCTTTGAAAACTTATGCGTAATACCTTACCGTGCAACACACGGTAAAGTACTAGTTAAATGAAGTAATAGCGAAGATTTGTTTTAGATAATTCATTGAGAGGGATTATATATTCTTACAACCAAATTTTTACAATAATGCAAACGGGCACCTATAGTGTTCCATTCGTAAAATTGTTTGTTTCCACCCCTTAACACCTCTGGTAAACCCCCACATCCCGACTCAGTCCTAGCGCACCACGACATCCCCTTTAATTGCACAATTTTTCATTTTTTGACTTTACGATCAAATATTTTACCAAAATGTTAAGTATTGTAATTAGAGGGGGTGTGTTAGAGTCGGACCATGATGTGAAGGTTTACCATCAATGTTAGAGAGGATAAGAATAATCAATTTTATGAACAGAGCATCATAGATGCTCCATTTATATTATTGTAAGAATTGTTGTAAAAATTTAAGAGTTGAACTCCTAGAATTACGACAAGTGGCTAATCTACATGACAACATTCTAACAAATCACCCACCACCTATTAATGATTGAATGACGTGGCAATTTTGATCAAAATATGGATAGATTTAATTTAACTTGTATACGGAGTATATGTCTTATGTATAATGTCGCTATAATTTTTTGGAAAAATACCTCATACCAGAATTGGAATAAACATAGAGAAAATACAAAAACAAAAGTGCATTTTTTTAATCTCCAAAATAGGAGATACCAAATATTAAGAGATTCCTTAGTTTCAAAAAGAAGTCATTGGTAATGCAATTTTATCAAAAGACAATGTTTGTTCTATATATCGAAGTTAAGTATACAAAATTGACAAGATAAGTCAATTGAGAAGATCAAATCCAAACATAGAGAGAGTATTATTTAAGAAATTAGAACCTACATGAAATTTTTTGCAATTGAGTGAGAACTTCTAAAATAATTAAAATAATAGTATAAATTTTTAAAATCAACTTCTAAATCAATAGTAACATTTTTCACATAAAATTTTAAAAAATTATCATGTAAAATTAATCACATGTATTTTACATCCA